TTTAATGGTCGATACAGGCAGATACCGATAGGGGGCCGATTATATCGTGCATCCCTAATTCAAACTAGCACAGAAGTGGCCTTTAGGTTTAAAAACTTCATTCAGTGATCAAAATATATTTCCCTGTTGTGCAAACTGATGCTTATGAATTGACAGCTGATTCCAGGCATTTAATCAAGGCTATAGTTCAAAGTGTGTTTGTGCATCTAGGCTTAGCTCTGAGGGCCAAAGAACCGATGACAGTGAAATATTACCTATTGCAGATTAAACAGGGAATGTGACTGGTTAATGTCGCCAGTTTTAAAAGTATTCTTCAAAAAAAAGATCTGTTTTTGCTCAACTTTAAGATGAACAATGAATGTCCTGGGCCAATTTCACTCTTTTTTTAAAGTTAGACTCAACTTTATTTATCCTTTGGGATTATTCCTTCAGGGAAATTCTGGTTCCAGCAGCTTATATAGAATATAAAGGGCAGAGATAAAGCAGGATGCCATTAAAGATAAAATACAACAGACAATATAAAAAGAGTGTATATAGTATAAAAAAAGCATAAAGAAAAAGTTGTACATCCTGAAATGTGTTTCCTTTAGATAAATTAGATAAATAGATCTAAAAATATGAAAAACATCTGCACAGCAGAGAGCTAAGCAAAGACTTCACAGTGTTATTGCAAAGTGAGATATGCCAAATTTGATCTGTTTCTAAAGCAGAACTTATGAGTTCATTTTCTCAAATATTCATAAAAGATGTGGATAACAACTTTAAGTCAATGTTTGTAGTTGCCATCTCAAAGTCTTCAGATTTCAGTTCTGTTTGGAGAAATGGCCCATATGTCCAGCAAACTACTTTAAGAAGGTCATGGAAGGGGAACCCGATCATGTTTGACCCAAGGCATATCGTCTTACAGGCATCTCTACCAACACTTCCAATGATGAGGATATGATCATATATGACAACAGAAACGGGAGGCAAAACCATTTCTGATAACCTGATTCTGCAATTAAGCTGTGTCTGAATCATTTTCAGACATGGTTTAAGAGATAAAGTTGTGTCTAAGTCTAAAAAAAGAGTGAAATTGGCCCAAGATATGGCCCAAGAATCATGGCTTGGCCGCCTTTTACAGTTGTTTTTTTTATATCTCGGCTTCTGTCTCCTTGAACCCCAGTCGGCCTCAGCAGATGGCTGCTCACACTGAGCCTGGTTCAGCTGGAGGTTTCTTCCTGTTAAAAGGGAGTTTTTCCTCTCCACTGTCGCTACAGGCACGCTTAGTGTAAGGCATTGCATCCGAGTCAATGAGTCGATGCAATCAACTGGTTTTCCTTAGTGAGAAAACTTTGTATCAATTTGACTGTATGATCTGGTTGAACTGTAAAGCACCTTGAGATGACATGTGTTGTGAATTGGCGCTATAGAAATAAACTGAATTGAATCATTGCCTTTTATTACATGTGTTATCTTTGACATTATTTAAATTGGTTGATGAATTCCTGAAGGTCCTTTTCAAATGCATGAGTGACACCAAAATATTCAGTAATCTACTTGTAAGAAAAGAGGAAGATACTTTACTAGTACTTTGTATATAAATAACAAAAAAAATTCTCTAACACCTAAAAGGTTGACTGTAAAATGAAGGAGACTGCATGACTCTACCCTTAAAGTATCACTCTGTGATGTTCTTGGCACGGCCACCAAGCAGACAGAAAGCTCCCTGTAATCGCTCGGCAGCAGGTTTCTCAGCATATACTTCTTTCCTGTCAGCCATTGCTGAAGAGCCTTCTCCCCCCCAAACTCTTTCAGGTGCACACAAAAGACCCCTGTTTCTGTCAGGAAGCCATGTGAGACCCAGCCCTAAATACCCACCCCGATTTATTCAGAGGACTTCTTTCCCTCTCAACTTTTCTGACCATAGGAGACCAAGACAAACTGCTCAGCAACAGCCTGATGCATATCTCAGCTTTAGCAGATGTCACTTGCATGCTCATGTTTCTAAACCACCTGGATCACAATGAATAGTGGTGCTTTGATATCAGTCAAAGAGCATGATTTTATATTTTTCTTACATCTGCTCCTGGACGGCCTGAAGCTCCTGGAGACCCGTCTTTTCCATTATCCCCGGGAATACCCTGGAGACAGAACATTACAGCTCGTTAAAGCTCATTTTATTAAATAAACTCAGAAACTTTATCCATCATAACCATCGGTGTTTTGAAACAAGAGAATCCTCTCACCGGCGGTCCAGTTACATTGGAGTCCTCCCCTCTATCACCCTGTAAAAAGCAGAAAAGAAATATTCAACTAACTCAAACAACCATCTATATATGTTTATAATATATATTCTTAAAACATGAAGTCTTACCAAGAGCAATTTTCTTACTGCGCTTATTTTGAGTGTAATCTTCTCAAAAGATTAATAATCTAACATAATCTGCGCTTGCTTAGTGTAGAAACCTCAATACTTGGTTAGATGGACCATTTTTTTTCTGTTATTTTTAGTTCCTTTACTTTAGCTCATATAAAGCACTCAATGTTGCCTTAAATCTATTTATTGATGGGATCTGGTTGACAAGAGGATGAAAAAAATATTTTTGCACAGAAATCCAAACGTGAGGACAGGAAAATCTGTTTAGCTGTCAGGAGACTGTTTTTTTTTGGGGGGTTATTGTTTGGCTTTCTTCTGGTTCTCCTGGATAATAACTACTTTTAGATTAGTGTCTGCAGCATCCTTTTGGAAAAAGGCTCATACATTTTTTTATGATTTAAAAAAATGTTATTTTAATGTCACTGAACTAAGAAATACTTCAAGACTGAAGAATCTTCTGACTGCCGTTTGTTTTTATAAAGCAGGGATGATAAAATGCAGACTCACGTCGATTCCATCCACTCCAGGTACTCCAGCGATCCCAGGCGGTCCAGGGGGGCCTCTGGGACCAACCGCGCCCCTCTTACAAACAATCACAGAAAACAGATTTTTATTATTCCTTCTCTTCTCTCTGAAATTCACCATTTAAAACATCATGCAGAGCTGCTGCTGTGCCGCTTGTGTGCAGGGCGGTCGACAAAGACCCATTGTCCCAGAGATGTGAGAGGAAAGGTCATGAAACCCAACCTGGCTTCCATTTTAGTCCCATTAAATTGCCTAAGTAACATCATGTGTTCAGATTACAGCGACTGTCTGGAACACCCTGCTGAGCATGCTGGGATAAAGCTGCCTTTTAGCTAATACCAAAAGTCAAGGGTTAAATCAACATTTTCATTGCTTAAATCATAAGTGCAAGTACGGAAAAATAAACCATTTAAACAAAGATACTGTTCAAAGTTAAAGTGATTGCAATAATATATCAGATGTGATGACCTGTGCCTGCAAATTAATAATAAAAAAAAAACACATCTGTATGGTTCAATCAAATAGCTAAAAGGAAGTTAAAATGATCAAAATTCAGCAGCCTGAGACTTTAGGAATAATAGCAAGGTTGGAGGAGATATTTAAATCTCAATGTGATCAAATTCCTTATAATCTGTGAAGTATTGCTGATTAGAAAGGCAAATAAAACAAACTTTAATATTCAGGGAGCAGTGCAGCCAGGCTCTGAGTCTAAAGTACAGTTCAACACTTAAAAAAAGTTAAAATGTACATCCTCTCACCTGAGCGGAACAAATCAACGCAATCTGCAGTAAAACCACCAGAAAACCCTCCTGATGGATCCTGAAGAGAGCCATGGTCTTCCCAAAGAGCCAGGAAGATACTAAAAAATCCCTTATTTTACCAGATTAACGAGGCTATCGGTCAGTCCATCTGCCAGTGTCCCCCCCTGACTTGAACCCCACTGCCGGTGCGAAGGGAGGATGTGAGAAAGTCCCAACTGTTCCTGAGAAGCTGAGGGTTAGCTGAGTGAAGGAGGAGGGTACCTCTGAAACCACAGGAGGGGGGGGGGACCCTCCTGATTACTTTCCTTTCTACTTTAACTGAACCTTTTTTTTCATATTTATTTATCATTTTTCTTTACTTCTATAATTAGTAAATAATATACTTCATTTAGATAAATAGATTCTGAAAAAAACATCAAGGCTCATTCAAAGGCAAACTCATCCTCCTTTTTTTAATTCATTGAGCCACAACTGCCAAGCTAAGTTTAGTGATGATATTAATCCAATGAAAAAGGCAGACCTTATCTGATCTTCTGATCATCATACAGGGCAAGTGTGCAGCGACAGTAGGTAGAAAGAGCTCTAGTGAGACCAGAACCAGTTTCAGAATACATACATTACTGTACGTTGGAAGAGGTTAAGAAATCTGTTGCTTGGTAGTAACACATACAAAGACATTAGACATAGAGAGCAATAAGACTTTCAGAGCAGATCTACACCTGCCGTGTGCTAAGAAGCAAGGGCCAACTTTTCTAGTTAGAGGATAAAGAGCAGTAAGGAAGAGGACACTGTGTGAGCCTTCCAGGGAGCAGCCAGTGGAGTTTAGCTCATGAAGTAGATTCCATATTTCCACAGCAACCTTTTCTAGGCTTATTTTCGGCTCATTGTGGAGCAATTTAAGAATTTGTTGCGGAGAGTCTCAATGATCAATAAAAATCAGACACACACAATACTAGTCTCTTTTTTTTTTTTTTATGGTGTCTGATCTTACACCTGATAAAACGGTTTCAATTGAACACAAGTCTACGAAACCCGGTCAAAATTCAGGTTTGATGCAGTGCTTTTGTGCCCTGGAGCAGCGGATGTTGTTGAAAATTGGTTTCAGAGTGCAACGGTGTCCTGTCTGAAAGTCCCAAAAAACAAGAAAAGTTTCAGAGTAAGGGAAAGTGGTTTTCATGTCCTCCATCAGCCTAATCCTATAGTAGCATAACTAGAGAAGTAGCCCACATATAGTGACAGTAGAGTGATTCAGATAACCTGAGCAACTCTAACTGAAAACCTTATCAGGAAGGAGAGTTTTAAGTCTCCTCCTTAATAAACTGAATGTCAGCCTGTGGAACCAACTGGTAGTTGGTTTCCACAGGAATCAACACGAGCCTGAGAACTAAAACATTTACCTCTCTTTTTAGTTTAGAATTCAATTCAAAATTAATTTATTAATCCCAATTGAAAATAAAATGTATAAATGTGGGTGTTATAGATGTAAAACCTTTAGGAACCTCTGGGCAAACCAGGAGAAAACCTGAGCTCAAAGTGTTCTTTTATGAACATTTCAACATTTCCAGGATTAAAGGACTAATGTCTCAGCATGATCTGGAAAAACTAATCCATGCGTTTATTTTTAGTCGAATTGATTACTGCAACGGTGTTTTCACAGGTCTGCCTAAAAAGTGGATCAGACAGCTGCAGCTGATCCAGAACGCTGCTGCCCGTGTCCTCACTAAGACCAAGAAAGTAGAGCACATCCCCCCAGTTCTAAAGTCCTTCCACTGGCTCCCTGTATCTCAGAGAATAGACTTTAAAATCCTTCTGTTAGTCAATAAATCTCTGAATGGCTTCGCACCTAAATACATCACAGACTTGCTATCAGTGTATCAACCCTCCAGACCACTCAGGTCTGCTCTGCATACCTAGAACCAGAACTAAACATGGAGAAGCAGCATTTAGTTCCTATGCTCCACTTATCTGGAACAAACTTCCAGAAAACTGTAAAAGTGTGGAAAGCCTGAGTTCCTTTAAATCAAGACTAAAAACACATTTGTTTAGGATTGCCTTCGACTGTTCTGGTTAAACAGTTCAACTAAAACATATTTTCTTTAGTCCAACTGTTTTTAATATTCTTTTTTTGTTTCTGCATTTTTTATTTTATTTATTTTTTTTTCCTACTTGCTTTGATTCTGTTTTATTTTCCTGTATTTTAATCATGTAAAGCACTTTGCATTGTCTTTGTACTGAATTGTGCTATACAAATACATTTGCCTTGCCTTATGAATTCATGACCGTATTAATTCTGTAGGATAAGCTGCAGCTTAGCCATTCAGATTTATAAGTAGGGAGGAAACAATTTGTCAAATTCACTTACATTAGATTAAAATTAGGTCCATACATAACGGTTCATAGTAGATATCATACAGTACAACTGAATTCATATCATGCCAGTTTGTCAAAATCTGTCTGTATCTATGGAATCCAGTCAATCTCATCCCCTTTAAGAAAAGAACCAGGACCAGACCAGTAAGATTGGTCATCAGCTCCGAGCAGCCTGGAGACAAAAAACATTAAGAAAAATATAGAATACCACACAGAGTAACACATCTTGACATCTGCAAGATCTGTGAGCAAGAGATAGTGACTATTATTTCATCGTATTTCATAAGAGCATCTAAGTAACTGAACCGTTGGACATGGACATGACAGCATGATGAATGTGACATTTGTTTGTTTCTATTAGATGGGACAGTAGCTCAGGAATTACTGGTGCCCCACAGCTGGTGTAGGTTACCTAAAAATGTTACTCTAATTGCACATTTATTTTAAACAAAAAAGGTTTTTCACGGTTATTTTTTTTTTACAGCTGGCTTACTGATTTACTAATTTTGGTATTTTGAATATCAAAAGGAAAAGTAAATATTTTAAAAGAAATTAGAAAAAAAACACGTATGTTATAACAAGATAATGTACTTCCAGTGATAATACTGTTTACTGTCTATTCATTGGGCCTCCGGATGGCTTAGCAGGCTGAGCAGATGGAAAAGATTTAGAACAATAAAACAAGATGTCTCAGTTTACCACTAACTATACAGAAGTCTGCATTTGGTTATTTATTGGTTAAAATAAGGTGGTTCCTACTCCAGGCTAGTACCAAGAGCTGGGTAGATTAGTCAGAGATTTAATTTAGGTACCAGTGGCTATACCTCATAATGGTATTACTAAAGGAAGTTGAAAGGAAAGTAAAGTGCATCGTACAGTAATGGTACCCCTAGTTTTTAAAGTTAAATAAGATATTTTAATGATTAAATCCGCATCTCTTCCCACAGGACAAAAAGTTTATGATTTAAATAATAGACAGGGCTCTGTGTGGCAGTGTTGTGGTCAAGACCACCTAACCCGAGACCAAGACAAGACCAAGACCAGAGTGTATCGAGACCGAGACAAGACCAAGACTTTTAGGGCCCGAGACCAAGACAAGACCAAGACCAGAGTGTATCGAGACCGAGACAAGACCAAGACTTTTAGGGTCCGAAACCAAGTCAAGACCAAGACCAGTCCCAGTATGTGACAATAAAATGTGGAACATGATCAAAATCACTAAAATTGATCTAAAAGACCCACATTCACATAAAAACACCTAGATATTTAACACACAGAACTGGACTAAACATTAACATCTTTATTTAGTACTTCTGTGTAGTAATCACAGAATTTCAAACAATTAATCAAAGTCGATCAAAAATTGTATTTTCTCTGCCGTTCATGAATAGTACATACATTTATGTTGTTTTTAAATGTGCTGTTTCAAAACAATGTGCAAAATTCTGTAAAATGTGTAAAACTGAAAAAAGCCAATCATTTCTCTTGTTTCTCTCTCATATACAGAT